GCATAGGTCGCTATGGGTCAGTACCAAATCAATGGCACCTAACAACAATAACAACAACAACATCAGCTGTAGGTCAGCTGCATGCCCTTGGAGTTATTAAATAACTATCTATAGAGTCCCACCAGTACACTGGAAAAAATAGAAAGAGCAAAGAAATAAAGTAGCAAGGCCACTTTGTCAAAAATGATGTCATGGGGAGAGTGTAGGATCAGAACCATCTGAGATGCTCCTTAATAAAGCAGATTCTTTTGTCCTGCCCAAGACTTAGGAATTAAAACCTCTGCATATGGAATCCATGAATCTGGATTTTTAAGAGGTATGTCAAGTTGTTCTTATGCATACCAAAGTTTGAGAACCACTGTCACTTTAGCTACTATCCCAAACAACAAACTGCTAAAGTTTCTCTCTTAATTGTGTTTGTTTTCCTAACACTAACTATGACAACTTAGGTCATATTGGGGATTTCAATGACTTCAGTTGTAACATCTCTTCTCCTTTTAACAAAAAATGTGGTAAATATATGCAATAGAATAATAATACCACTTGGTGTTTTAAGACAGCCATGACAACTAACAATCCACTTCATTTCTTTACTACTATAGATACAGAAATTGCATTGAAGTAATACCAATACCAACAGGACCAGTAGAGTTTGAATAATGACACCACCACCCTATATTCATACAGCTTTCTATTTACAAAGTACTCTCATGGTGGCACTGTAGGATAAGAACTGGACTGCTAACCACAAGGCTGGTGGTTCGAGCCCACCATCCATTCCAACGAATAAAGATGAGGCTACTCCCATGAAGATGTACAGCCTCAGAAACCCTATGCTATTGTTATTAAGTGCTGTCAAGTCAGTTCCAACTCATAGCCACCCTATAATAGGATTTCCAAGGAGTGGCTGGTGAGGTTGAACTGCCATCCTTGTAGTTCAAACTGACCTATGTGCCAGTACCAACTCAATAGCACACAACAACTCATGTATGCCATCTAACTGGATTCTTGTAGCTCTGTAAGGAAAAAAGGGCATTATTGATGAAACCCCTTTCCTGTTTTTAGAAGTTGAAGTAGAGATAAGTTCAATGGCCTCAGAGGTAGAAGTAGGAGAATCAGGACTCAAACATGTCATCACTTCCTTACCTCCCTTAAGTTGTCAGGCCAAGGATATTTTGAGTCTTCCTTGTGTGCCAAACTATCACTGAAATCGTACCATATATTATATTGTGTTACTATAGAGTGTAGGGCTTGCACATGAGGCAGCCAAGATAGCTGGATTGTATTACTTAGTCTTTCATATCTTTGATTTGGGCTTGAGAATATAGGCATATTCCACCTACTAATGAAATGCCAAGTTTGAATGGACAAATAGGTAACACAAAGAATATCTGTATCAACCAATGGAAACCCTAGACAGAGTCACTATGGGTCAGAACCAACTCAACAGCATTTAACAGCAGCAACCACCACCACAACCTGAGCACAGAGAAAAGGGAAAGCAGAAATAGTGCTCATTTTCATCCAAATAATAATAGGTACATTCTTTTTAAGGGAGGAAAACAAAATGTCAGCCACTTACCCAGCATCCGAACTGTTTCCACAGAGTAAAGGTTCCAGCATGCCAGGAACTATGTAAAAATTGGCTAGAAAAGTTTGAATAAAGTAATTTAAGTGAATGAGGGAACAAGGTTATACTGCTCCTAACTAGTCCCAGCAGAAACAGTTATTGATTGTATTCACTCCTGGCTGCAGTGAAACCTGGTAAGAATTCTTTCTCAATAATGACTTTCCAGTAGATATTTAAGGTTTAAAAGTGCTACCATAAATCTCTTGATGTGGCGCTCTTTCCACAGACTCGTGTGCTTCAGTTGATACGCTGGGCTCTGGTTCTTGTATGAAAGGGAGTTTTCAGAGTTCTTCACTCCCTTATACAGCTTCAGCCTTCTAATCTTACAACGTTTATCAGAAATATTCTAGAAATCCTCACCAGCCACTCGTTACCACGTCTATTTCAAACTAGAAGGCAAGTTTCCTCTGCCTGTATGTGTCCCTGAAGTCCTCTTTGCGACTTTTTTTATGGCTATTTAACTACTGGCATTTCCATAGGAGTGACTTAGATTAATAACTTTTAAAACTGTTTTACAGAAGTACTGCTACACCAAATCTTCCTTTACTTAACGTTAAGAACCAGATGCTTTGCTTCCTCAGATTAAGTTAGTAAAGCTCCTCAGCTATAATAAAATAAAATGGTGCCTTTCAGATTACCTGGCCCCTAGATAAGATTAATGACTAAAGTTTGGTCGTAAAACAAATCTTGGTCACTAGGCATATTTTAGACTAAATATTCCATACAACCAGCCTAAGGAAAAAAGGTCCTAAATTGAATTTCAAGGTAAAAGCTTAGGGGTACGTGCACAAGAACAATGAAGTCTCCTTTTTGATGTCAAGGGAAGGAAATAAAAGAGAGAGAAGGATGATTCCTGAGAGTTGCGGGCTATAATCCTATCTCAAGGCAAAATAATTACTTTGCAGGGTTACTTCCTGTAGCACTGCATTCCTTTCTGGCCCAACTACTTTTCTAAGGGCAGTGGTAGTTTGGGGCCATGTAAACTAGGGGTAGATCTTTCTTTTTCTTCTTGTAAAGAAAGGGCTACCTACTTTTATTGTTGATATACTCTTCCCAATCAAAGCCTCTAGTGCCATTTTCAAGATAGCTTTCGTTGAAGTTTATGGGCCACACGACACACTTGTTCCGTAGGTTTCCCATGAATAGCTGCAGTCCGATCAAGGCAAAAACACTCAGGCAGAACACTGTCAGGATCATCACGTCTGACAGCTTCTTCACAGACTGAATGAGGGCACCCACAATTGTCTTCAGGCCTGAGGAGACAGAACCCCCAGAGTCAGAGTCACCTCAAACTCGTCCCCACCTCCCCCTGCCTCCCACTCAGCTACTGGCTTCTGCTCCTCCCCACAGCATCACCTGAAAGACATCACTTTACCTTTCCCCTCAGGAGGAGAGTAACAGTGGACCAACAATGGTATCAATTTTAAGTCAATCATTTTTTTAAAAAGCTATTTCTTCTTGGATATGTTTTCCTGTATATGTCCTCAAATCCTGTTAAGCTGCTCAAATGAGTCAAGTTGTGGCTTCATACAGGATGATCTGTCGGCTTGGCCTGCTGTCTTGCATTCCTTCCTCCTCCTTACTTAACACCTATTTATTTTTCAGGTCTTCTTTTCAATATAAATTCTTTCAGAAAGTCTTTCCTAACTTCACAACTACCCCCATAATTATTAATATCTTTGTAACAGCCTGTATTTTCCACTGTAGCATTTATCTTGGTTATAATGATTTTTTCCTATCTGTCTTGTTCACAGCTGTATCTGAAGCTCTTAGACTACAGCAGGTAATTAGCATATATTTTTTGAATAAACACATGGAAAAAAATCAGGCATCGAAGAAGATTCCAGGTTTGAAATGGATCTTTTGGGAAGCTGACAAGTCAATAACAAGTGAGAAAGTATAACAATATTTTCCCGAGAGCTCTGCAAATGCCAACATGCTGAAAAGACTCATGACTATCAATCTGGTATGTATGGTTTATCTTTCCATTTGAAAATACATCTTTTCTGTGTGCCCATAGGCTCTGACCTCTATAAATGGACCTTTTTATTTTTTCTTCCTGTCCTTTTAGATTTAAAAAAACCCCAACAAAACAAAACTTACAGCTCATTTGAACTTCAGCTTTAAATGCAAGCCACTGAGTCAAATGTGAAGTTGCTGAAAATTTTCTTATTTGCACAGGTAGAAATCAGTGATTGGATACATAACGAAATGTGGCTCTAAGTTCATGATGTTTGACAAAATCAAGTCCACAAGTGGCTCTCCTGGGCATGCTCAACCAGCACAGGCAGGATGCAGACACTGAGCCTTGACACACAGGCCTCAGGAAGGACTTCACCTGATCCATTCATGAAGGCAAGGATATGAGGCAAAAATGCAAGGGCAGTCCTAATCCTGGCCTTGAATGTATGACACTGGGGAGATCATTACTAAGTGTAATCAAGTTATTCCACTTACTATGTGACCTGAGCAAGACACTTAGCCTTCTGGAATCTCCGCTTTTGTCATCTTTAGAGTGGCGATAGGTATAGCTGAATATCATATGTTGTTGTTGTTGTTAAGTGCCGTCGAGTCGGTTCCGACCCATAGCGACCCTGTACAGGGTTTC